CAGATCCAGCCTGCAGCCCCCCCCTCATCACCCAGATCCATGCTGCACCCTAATTAGCCAGCTGCAGCCTGGCCCCCCTTGGTTAGCTGGATCCATCCTGCACCCATCCCCTTACCCAGCTCCACCATGCGTACCCCCTCCCTTTGCAAAAGCCACTCTTTTTTTTTACTTTTTTCTTTTTTTTTTTTTTTTTGCTGGGCACCCCGGTGGGGAGCAGACCCCCCCCCTCCCCGCCTTTATTTGGGGCTCCACGTGGGCAACAAGCCTCCTGCTGCCCTGCCGCGGCCTTTTTTGCTGGGCCCGATCCAGAGCCGGGTGCCAAGGGCAGTGTTTGGGGGGTGCCCGGCTGACCCCAGCACTCCCCCCCCACCCCGGGCGGGTTTTCCTTCCCCTTGCACCCCTCGGGTGAGTGAACCCTGCGGCACCCTGAGCTGGGTGCTGGGGCAGCACCCATGGGTGGCCCTGGGGGGGGGGGGGGGGGGACACGCCACCCTCAGGAAGGACACATGGCGTCCCTGGGACGGGGACTACAAGTCCCAGCCTGCTCCGGGCTGAGCATGGCCCCCGCTGACGGAGGAGGCCTGCTCCATCCTTCCCCGCCATCGCAGGGCCCGGAGCGGGGCGGCCGCGGCCATGCTGCGCCCCAAAGCCCTGACGCAGGTGCTGAGCCAGGCCAACACCGGCGGGGTCCAGAGCACCCTGTGAGTAGGGGTCGGGGGGGGGGCCGGGGGCGAGGGGGCGGCTTCGCCCACCCGTGTGCTGGGGGCTGCCGGGCCAGCTGGCACCCTCCCACTCCACGCAGGGCGATATTCCTGCGAGGAAATGCTTTTTTTGTCCTGCCCCGGAAATGTCCCCCCCCGGGGGGTGGGGGCGTGCGGGGCCCTGCAAGGGGCAGGCAGGGTGCTGGGGCCGTGCACGGTGCTGGGTGACGCATGGAGCCAGGACTGGGTGCAGTGCACAGCGCCGGGGCCGTGCGCGGTGCTGGGGCCACGCGCTGTGCACGCTACATGGTGCACAGCGCCAGGTTCATGCACTGTGCACGGTGCCAGGGTCATGCACGGTGCTGGGGCCATGCTCTGTGCGCACTAAATGGTGCACGGTGCCAAGGCCATGCAGGGTGCGCCGTGCCAGGGCCATGCCTTGTGCACACTACATGGTGCACGGTGCTGGGGCCACGCGCTGTGCACGCTACATGGTGCACAGCGCCAGGTTCATGCACTGTGCACGGTGCCAGGGCCATGCACGGTGCCCACGCGCTGTGCACGCTACATGGTGCACAGCGCCAGGTTCATGCACTGTGCACGGTGCCAGGGCCATGCACGGTGCTGGGGCCATGCTCTGTGCGCACTAAATGGTGCACGGTGCCAAGGCCGTGCAGGGTGCGCCGTGCCAGGGCCATGCCTTGTGCACACTACATGGTGCACGGTGCTGGGGCCATGCACAGTGCACGGTGCCAGGATTATGCGCTGTGCATGCTGCTGGGGACATGCACGGTGCTGAGGCCATGCTCTGTGCGCACTAAATGGTGTACGGTGCCAAGGCCATGCAGGGTGCGCCGTGCCAGGGCCATGCCTTGTGCACACTACATGGTGCACGGTGCTGGGGCCATGCACAGTGCACGGTGCCAGGATTATGCGCTGTGCATGCTGCTGGGGACATGCATGGTGCTGAGGCCATGCTCTGTGCGCACTAAATGGTGCACGGTGCCAAGGCCATGCAGGGTGCACCGTGCCAGGGCCATGCCTTGTGCACACTACATGGTGCACGGTGCTGGGGCCATGCACAGTGCATGGTGCCAGGATTATGCACTGTGCATGCTGCTGGGGACATGCACGGTGCTGAGGCCATGCTCTGTGCGCACTAAATGGTGCACGGTGCCAAGGCCATGCAGGGTGCGCCGTGCCAGGGCCATGCCTTGTGCACACTACATGGTGCACGGTGCTGGGACCATGCACAGTGCACGGTGCCAGGATTATGCGCTGTGCATGCTGCCGGGGACGTGCACGGTGCTGAGGCCATGCTCTGTGCACACTAAACGGTGCACGGTGCTGGGGACGTACACAGTATCAGGGTCATGCACTATCTACACTACATGGTGCACAGTGCCACGGACGTGCATGGTGCCAGGACCACGTACTGTGCACACTGCATGGTGCACAGTTCCAGGACCATGCACTCTACATGGTGCCAGAGCCATGCACAGTGCCGTGGACGTGCTTTGTGCACACTACATGGTGCAGGGTGCCAGGATTATGCACTGTGCATGCTGCCGGGGCCATGCACGGTGCTGAGGCCATGCTCTGTGCACACTAAATGGTGCACGGTGCCAGGGACATTCACGGTGCTGGGGCCACACACAGTGCACACTAAATAGTGCACAGTGCTGGGGACATACACAGTATCAGGGTCATGGACTATGCACACTACATGGTGCACAGTGCCACAGAAGTGCATGGTGCCAGGACCATGTACTGTGCACACTGCATGGTGCACAGTTCCAGGACCATGGACTCTACATGGTGCCAGAGCCATGCACAGTGCCGTGGACATGCTTTGTGCACGCTACATGGTGCAGGTTGCCAGGATTATGCACTAAGCACCGTGTTGGGGCTGTGCAAGGTGCTGGGCGATGCATGGAGCTGGGAATGGGAGCAGTGCACGGTGCTGGGGCCATGGACAGTGCTGGGCCCATGTGCTGTGCATGGTGCATGGTGCCAGGATTATGCACTGTGCACGGTGCCAGGTTCATGCATGGTGCTGGGGCCATGCTCTGTGCACACTAAATGGTGAAAAGTGCCAAGGCCATGCAGGGTGCACAGTATCAGGGCCATGCCTTGTGCACACTGTATGGTGCACGGTGCCAGGATTATTCACTGTGCCCACTGCCGGGGACATGCATGGTTCTGGGGCCATGCACAGTGCACACTAAATGGTGCACAGTGCTGGGGACATACACAATATCCAGGCCATGCACTGTGCACGCTAAATGGTGCACAGTGCCGGGGACGTGCACGGTGCCAAGACCATGCACTGTACATGGTGCCAGGACCATGCACGATGCCGTGGACATGCTCTGTGCACACTACATGGTGCATGGTGCTGTGGCCATGCACTGTGCACAGTGCCAGGGACATGCCCAGTGCTGGGGCCATGGTGCACAGTGCCAGGATTATGCACTGTGCATGGTGCCAGGCTCATACATGGTACCAGAGACATGTATGGTGCTGGGGCCATGCAGCGTGCACACTAAATGGTGCATGGTGCCAGGACCATGCACTGTGCACGGTGCCAGGGACGTGCACGGTGCTGGGGCCATGCTCCATGCATGGTGCCACAGACATGAATGGTGCACACTACATGGTGCACAGTGCCAGGACCATGCACGATGCCGTGGACATGCTCTGTGCACACTACATGGTGCATGGTGCTGAGGCCACGCACAGTGCACGGTGCCAGGGACAACATGCATGGTGCTTGCCCACCAGGCACAGCCACCGCAGACCCACTACTTTCCTGCTCAGGACTGGGGCCACCCCAGAGCTTCCTGGCTTTGGAGCCCCCCACCCCCTGCCAAAATCCCCCTGCAAACCTGAGGTGTCCTGGGAGAAGTGCTGGGCTGGGGGGGTTGCTCTGCCCCCCAGCACTGCAATGGGGTCTGGTCCCCCCCCTGCGTTTAGAGGCACCAATTTGCTCCCCCGTCTTATTTCCAGGCTCCTGAACAATGAGGGGTCTTTGCTCGCCTACTCGGGCTACGGGGACACCGATGCCAGGGTCACCGCGGCCATCGCCAGCAACATCTGGGTGGCCTACGACAAGAACGGGCACCAAGCATTCAATGAGGACAACCTCAAATTCATCCTCATGGACTGCATGGTATGTGGCACTGGGGGCTGCCCTCCCCTCCCTGGGCTCCCGGGCACCCACCGTGGCCCTGGGGGTCCCCCAGCACCCTGCCAGCGGTCCCTGCCAAGCTGAGGGTGCGATGGGTGCTGTTTCTTTCTGGGCAGGAGGGGCGAGTGGCCATCACACGGGTGGCAAACCTGCTGCTCTGCATGTATGCGAAGGAAACGGTCGGATTTGGGATGCTGAAGGCCAAGGTAATGCAGATGGGGGGGGGGGGGGGGCCTGCGGGGCTGCGTCCCCACAGTGGGGTGGGAAAGAGCTGTTGAGGAGGATGAGGATGGGAGCTGCCATGCCTGGGACGCCTCTTTCCTCCTTGCAGAGGCTCCTCTGTCCCCCGTGCCAGCCCAGGCGCCACGCCCCGCACCTTTTTAAGGCTCTAAAATGAAATAAAAATTAAAATAAGCACACGCAGGTTGCAAAATCCGCCTCGGCATCTCTCACGCCGCTCTCTGCTCGCAGGCGCAGGCGCTGGTCCAGTACCTGGAGGAGCCACTCACGCAAGTGGCCGCATCCTGACCACCGTAGCGGAGGAGCTCAGAGGTGCCACCGTGCAAAAGCTGTTTGCTTCGACACTGTCACCGGCATGGGTGGGGGGTGAGCAGCCCCCATGGGCCTCCCGGAGCTTGGTTCTGCTTTGGTGTGGCCTTTAAAAATAGGATGGGGGGAGCAAAAAAGTGGTGGTGGGGAATAAAAGTGTGTCTGATGGTTGTGTCCTTTTGAGTTTCTTGTGAATAAAAGGAGGAGCTGGGGGGGGGGGGGTGGTAACGCACACCCGGCTGGGCTGGGGGTGCCCCGGGCAGTGCTTTGGGGGTGCCTGTAGCGATGGGGGAAAAACAGAACAGGGGCTTGTGTCAAGAGGGGGTGGGTGCAACAGCGCTGAGCCCCAACCTTGCACCCCTGCCCGGCTGCACTGGGGTAGCAGGGCTCAGCGGGGGGAGGATCCTTCCCTTCCCCGGTTTCCCCGGCTTTCACACGATGGCAGCAGAGGCGAGGCAACGCGTTCACACCGGGAGCTGAGCTGGGGGGGCTCCGGATCTGGCCCCGCTGCCCCAGCCCTCCCCGCGCTGCCAGCCGGCCCCAGCAGCCAGGATCAGGCCCCGGCTCCTCCTCTGGCCGCCCCGTCACGGTCCCAGGGGTGACACTACCTGCCCAACCTGCGCTGCGACACCCAGTCCCACCCCTTGAGTCAACCGGCCGTGCTGCACCGCCAACCCCGGCTGGCCTTGCCGTCGCTCCCCCAAACCCCCCCCCTCGATCCCCCAGACCCCGCTGGCTCCCCCAGACCCCCCCCGCGCTCCCTGACAGAGGAAACTTTGCCCCCTCCATCTCCTCCCTCGGCGCCTCTCGGAGCCCGGCCCGCCCTGCACCCTCTGCTCGAGGCTTTGCAGCGGGAAGGAGGAAACCGAGCGGCAGCAGCCGGGGCGACATGGGCAGCGCCGAGGAAGATTATAACTTCGTCTTCAAGGGTGAGTCCTGGGCTCGATGCGAACCCCCCCCCCCTCCCCAAAAGGGATGGAGCGGGAGGACGGGAGCTGCAGGGAGGGAATTGAGGTGCCTTCCCTCCCCGCCCCGAGCTGCCATGTCCCAAAATGGGATGTTGCTGATCGTCCCGGCAGCTCTGAAGTGTGGCGGGAGCTGCGAGGGGTCAGGGGGTTGGGGAGACCCACAACCACCCCAAAGCTGCTCGTGTGGGACGCGGGGCGAGTTGCTGCCGCGCGGTGGGGGCTGAGACGGCTGGGGCTGAGCGTGTGAGATTAAAATGCCGTTTAAAAGTCCTTCTGCTGCGGTGACCTGCGCGGTGGCACACACAGAAGGACGCAGGGGTCAAACCTGGGCTGGAGAGAGACAGGGACACGGCGTCGTGCCCCCCGGCTTGAGTTCCGCAGGCACGAGGCTCCGGTGTGCTGCGTCTCGGCCGGGTGCTACCAGCCGGAGCCCCCTTGGACCCTGGTGCTCCCCATGGGAGATGGACAGGCTCCAGGGTGCCACCAGTTTTGGGCGACCTGGGGCTTGCCAGCGTCCTCACCCTGCTCCTGCTGCCCAGAGCCTGGTAGCCATGTGTTCCCCCCCCCACCATAAAACAGCGCTGGGGCCACGCCAGCAGACAGGGAACACGGGTGGGCTCAGCAGAAGTGGCTCAGCCGCACTCGAGGGGCTGAGAGCTCGTGACGCGGGGACGGGACCCCCGTTTGCCAAAGGAGTGACAGCGCTGGGTGCTACACCCACACGCCTGCCCGGCCTCTGTGCCCAGGTCTGGGGTCATCAGGCAGAGGGGGGGATGCCTGGGCACCCCGTGCCCACAGGTCTGGCTCAGGTCAGCAAGGGTTATTTGAATTACTGTGAAGCACCTTGGAGCAGCCCTCTCCCCTCCGCGACAGCTCCAGTGGGCTTTCTCCCTTCTTTCCACAGTCGTCCTGATCGGGGAGTCCGGGGTGGGCAAAACCAACCTGCTGTCCCGCTTCACCCGCAACGAGTTCAACCACGACAGTCGCACCACCATCGGCGTGGAGTTCTCCACCCGCACCATCCTGGTGGGAGACGCCGTGGTGAAGGCTCAGATCTGGGACACGGCTGGGCTGGAGCGCTACCGCGCCATCACCTCTGCGTAAGGACGGGATGCCCAAAATCAGGGCGGCCCCTGGGACCTGGCTGGTGATGCCTTTGTAGTTGAGCCCCACGGGTGAGGATGCTGGGGGGGGGGGCTGTCCAGAGTGTGGGGTGATGGTGGGGTTCTCCCATAGGTATTACCGGGGGGCTGTGGGTGCCCTGGTCGTCTTTGACATCACCAAGCACCAGACGTACGATGTGGTGGACCGCTGGCTGAAGGAGCTGTATGACCACGCCGAGGCCAGCATCGTCGTCATGCTGGTGGGGAACAAAACCGACCTCGCGCAGGCTCGGGAGGTGCCCATGGAGGAGGCGAAAATGTTTGCAGGTACAGGCTGGCACCCTGCCATGGGGCTGGGGGCTTGGGAACCTCCCTGATAGCAGGCACCCGCACCAGTGCGGGCACCTGAACATCTCTGAAGGGGCTCCAAAACGGAGCCCGTACCCTTGCCGGGGTCTGCATCGTCTTGGGGGACTCCTCTCATTGCAGACAACAACGGGCTGCTGTTTGTCGAGACCTCAGCACTGGATTCCACCAACGTCGAGCAGGCGTTTGAGACCATCCTGAAGGGTACATGCACCATCGCCGGGGTGCAGCGGGGTCCCGGGGTCCGGGGCATCGCGGGGTCCTTTGCTGGGGGATGCAGGGCTGGGCAGAGTTGCAGCGTGTCTTTCCTCTGCCCTACTCCACGTGAGCTCTTTGGGGCTGGTTTCGGTGTTGTCTTTCTGGATGGTTTGGTTTCCGGCCTTTTGTGCTGGGCGTTTCGTTCTCCGCACCCCATGGCTTTGTTCTCACAGCCCTGGGCATCCCCAAAACCCCGGGGGCTCCTTCTCCCCCTGTAATCCCCAGTCCCCCTTCCTGTTGTCCTGGGCTCCTGACTCAACGTCTCCAGCACCCTGCCAAACCGGGTGCCAGGACCTGGGGGGACCTCCTGGAGAGGGGTGATGCTCGGGCAGGAGCACCTCTCCAGGAGTGGCAGCCAGCAGCATCGGGGCAGGAGCACAAAGCGAGGTGTGCCGCGTTGTGCCGCGTTGTTGTGCCGCGTTGTGCCGCGCCGTGCCGAGCCAGCCTGGCCCGGCGAGCTGCCAGCCCCGGCACGGGGTGAAGCACTAATCCCAGGTTGGGCAAGAGGAAATTGCCTAAGCGCAGGGTGTTCCCCAGGCACCGCAGGGATGCGACTTGGGGGGAGCTGCTCCCCTGTCACCCCTCACCTCGTCCCCTTTGCTGCGTGGAGGGGAAGGAGAGCCACCGGCGTGGCAAGCAGTGGGCCAGAGGGCCAGCAATGGGGGCTTGCAGGCTCAAAACTGTCCCTGCTTCTCCGGGGGGCCCTTGGCTGACACACAGACCCCGCCGGCGCCTCTTGTTTTGCAGAGATCTTCCACAAAGTGCAGAAACAGAAGCAGAAGAGCAGCCAAAGCAACACGGTGTCGCTTGCCAGCGAGAGCCCGGAGAGCACGGCCCCGGCGCAGACGGAGAAGCGCCCATGCTGCGTGGCCCTCTGAGCTGGCCAGGCACCCTGGGAAGCCCCCCAGGGACCCCCCCCCCCACAGTCCCAGGACTCGCCAGTGGCACAGAGCTGGGTCTGCCACCATGCAGACTCATCTGGCCACCGGCGCAGGCTGGTGTCACCCAGTCTGCAATGTCACCCAGTCTGCGGTGCCACCCCCCGTCCTGGCGCAGTGGGGACCAGCAGCCCGGACAGTGGCCAAATTCTGCCATAAACGGTGAGAAGCACCGGCGCTGGGAGCTCTTCTCTATCTGCTTCATTTATGCCGGGCCCTGATTAGCATCACCGCCTTCACGCAAGGACCTCCCAGCCCCTCCAGCCCCGCGGTGCAGAGGACGGAGATACCCCCGAGGCACGGCTGGGGAAGGAGCCAGGAGGTTCTGGCCGGGACCGTGCTGACAACAGGACCCTCTCCGTTGGAATCTGGCCCTGGGGTTGCTCCCGTGGGACCACCCTGTGCCACGCATTGGGGCTGGGGCTGTCCCCGCAGGCCTCTGTCCCCACTGGGGCCAGCTCTGGGGTTGTCCCAAGCCCTAAGGAACAAAGTGGCAGCGCTCGGCCCTTGGCACACCTCCGACCCCATCCCAGGCGTGGGACAAGCAAAGGTCCCTCCTGTCTGCACGGTGGGACGGGGTTTGGTGCAGATCCCGGTGCCAAGGGGCCCCGGGAGCAGCTCCGTGTCCAGTGCAACGGTGACACAATCATTAAAGGACTTGCAAAACGCAGGCTTGCTGAGCTGGAATTCCTGCGTGTTCGTGGTCCCATCCCCTGGTGCCCACTCCCCATGACATGCCGGAGAGCGTGGCCACCCAAGCAGCCCGGCCCGATGCCACGGTCCCCCTGCACCCCCTCCCCACACAGCCGTTCCCATCCCCACACCCCCCCATGGTTTATAGAGGGTGGCTGGCAGTTTATCCGTGGCCTCAGCCTGTTCTCTGAAACCCCTCGGAAATGGGAGAATTGCCGCTGGATTCTCCGTGTCTTGCTCCAGCTCTGGGCACCCGCCCGTGCAAAGACGTGCCGGCCCAGCCTCCCACTTGGTGTCCGCGGGTTCTGCGTGGGCAGGGCTGTCACCACCGGTGGCACACGTGCACGGCGGCCCTCGCCCCGCTGCCACACGGCGCTTTGCGTGAGGACACCCCGAATCAGGGCGCCCCAGAGCCCTCGGGGGAACACGGCGGGGCTGAGCAGGGTGCAGAGCCCTCTCCCATGGGAACACCCACATACCTGCCCCCCCCCCCCCCCCCCCCTTTACCTGGCCCAGGTAAGCACACCTGGGCGGTGACGGACAGCCCTGGCCGCCAATGGGTGTGGAGGAGGAAGGGCTGTGACCGCCAATGGGTGTGCAGGGGACAGCCTCTGCCAGGGCTGGATAAGACCCGGAAATCCCCGTTGGCTCAGCAGGAGTGGGGCTGTGGTGCTGGACGAGATGCGGGGCAAGGATGATGAGTATGATTATCTCTTCAAAGGTGGGTCTGCTGTGCTGCTCTGGCCATGCCTGCGATGAGCTGTGCTCAGTCTCAGCCTGCCGTGGGTGGTGCAGCACCCTCGGGATGGAGCTGGGAGCCGGGGCTTGGGGTTGTACTGGGGTACAACACGCAGCTCCCGGTGCTGGGAAGGTGCTGGGGGGGCTCTCCTGTGCTGGGCAGAGGGGTGGCAGGGGGGTGTGGGTGCTGCTGGGTCCTCAGGGTAGAGGCTGAAATGTTGCCGTGGTCTGTGGTTGCTGGGTGCAGGTGGCTGGTTGAGGCCCTAGTGCTAATTAAAGCCGCTCGTTACTGCTGTGGGAAGAGCTGGGAGCCCCCACCTGGGTGTAGCAGCCAGGGGAGGGGTGGCCCTGCCCGTGGGGGCAGGCTGAGGAGGCAGGGGTGGTGAGGAAAGCTGCTCTGTGTGGCACCGTGGGGCCCGTGCTGGCCCCTGACCCCCTCCAAGGGGGTTTGGGTGCTCCCCTCTGCACGTCGGGGGTGGGAGGAGCAGCGAGCAATCCGCAGCGGAAAAGCTGCGCTGCTTGTTAAGGGGAAGGATCCAGAGCTCCGGGGTTGTCCGTCACGGCGTGACCTCTCTGGTGTGCAAGGGGGGACAGGGTTGGGCCCTTGGAGGTGCAACGTTGGTTTTCCTGGCCGTCGGAACCCAGCACCCCCGTGGAGCATCCCCATCCGAGCCGCCGTCTCCCCGCCCTTAGCAGCTCTCCACCTTGCGCCGGCCGCCGTGCCGTGGCTGGGGCGGGTGATGGGGGAAGCGAGGGGACAGCTTGGCAACGTCACAACCTCCCGAGCAATAAAAGCCGGGGAGTGAGATCACCCGACGGCTGGCCGTGAGTCAGCCTCCCCGTGCAGCCCTGCCTGAAAGGCCCCGAGTAATTCCAGCCACCGACATGACCGTAGCCCCCAGCTCCTTGCGCACCTCCCCTGGCCCCTGCCCAGGAAAATCCTCCTCCCTGGAGTTATTCTGGGACCAGGAGAGGGGGAAACTCTGATACAGCCGGAGCTGGGTGATGCCTCAGAGCGAGGTGCCTGGGCAAGAGCTCCTCTGCCTGGTGTGTGTTTTGCTTCTTGCCCAGTGTCGTGCCAGCAGCACAGCTCTGAGATGGCCCCGGCACGATGTCCTCCTGTGGTGCCCGTCCCTTCCCTGTGATCCTACAGGAGCCGGTGCTGAGAACAGCTCGGCACTGGGCTCTGCATTCCCCTCCTCAGTCTCTGGAGTCCTTAAAAAAATAAGAGAACTCAGTTTTGAACGCAAGGTCTGCTCACCCCTCCTGAAGCAGGAGCAAAGCCCAAGGGAGACGCAGTGTTTAGGGGCACAGAGCTGGGCCAGCATTCTCTGGGGTTAGATGGCTCTGCTGAGACCAGTTTTTTCTCCCCCTGAGAAATGGGAGATGGTCACTGCTCGAGGCAACGTCATCCTGATTTCCACCGAGATGGGAGCACCAGCCGCCTTCTCCTGTTGCAAAGCACGATGCAAATTCCAGCTGTGCTCGCAGGAAGGCCCTTGATGCTGCTGGAGGGGCTCGGGATAGAGGAGAAATGGCCCTGGGCATGGCTGCTCCTTGGACCCTTCATCAGGGACCCTGTGGAGAGCTCCAGGCTGTTTCCATCCCCACCTCTGGGCTGGGACGTGATGTGTCAAGGATGTTTCACCAGTGCTCACAGGATGCTCTCAACAGCTCATGCTGCATGTTCAGAGGCATCAAGAGCTGAGTGTGTCAAATGCTGTTGTGCGTGGGGTGGAGGATGCTGCTCGAGTCCCTCTTGCCCTTCCAGCTCAGGGGGATGGGGCTGAGCACGTAACCCCTCTGCAGCAAGGTGCCACGGAGGCTGCTGGATCCCTGCCCCATCCAACCCCCTCCCTGGTGCAGTGCAAAGCCCACGGGCGTGCGAGAAGCATGCCACGGCCGTGGGGGGCTCTGCAAGCTCAGCACATGCCCAGCACGGGCTGCCTCTGCTCCTTCCTCCCTCCCCCAGCCTGGTTTCCTAAGGCTTTGCCATACCAATAATTTTTTTTTTTCTTGCTAGCTGCAGGGGTGATGCAGCCTGGCATGCTCGTGCCTCAGTTTCCCCTGGCTGTGCTTAGTGCCGTCTCCTGGCAGCCAGGGCTCTTGCAGACATCGGGTGTGCTGCCCTCCTGTCCCCGAGCCACGGAGGTGCGTGGGGCTGGAGGCAGCAGGAGCACAGCACGGCCGGGATAGGGGATGCAGCGGTTGAGCCGGGGGAAGTAGCAACTTCCCGTTGATTTAAAAACCAAGCCCAGATCAAAGCAGCAAGGCTCGGTGAGCGTTAACGAACCTGGCCTGCATTTTTCTACCGGTTTGTCCAGGGTAGCCCAGGCTGTCATGGCCATCCCAGGCACCCACGTAGCAGGCAGCAGCTTCAACGCTGCGCGGAGGAGACACCCCACCCTCCGCTGCCGGCCGCCCTGGCGCGGCGATGGCCAGCGAGGCTCCGGTGATCGCAGCGAGCTGCTCCGCACGCCCTTGGGCTTCGTGGAGCAATGCTGGTTGCTGGCTGCCCTGCAACGAGGGTTTTGGCAAGGGGGTGGCTACGTTGTTGGAGGCTTTGCAGCCCAACCCACGCAAAGCAGCCGAGTCCCCGTGAGCTGGAGCTGATGGGGAGCGGGTTATCCAGGGCACGGAGCAACATCCTTGGAGGGAGGTGGCTGCTGAGTGTGGACGGGTCTTGCTGCAAAACCCAGGCGAATCCTCCGGCGCGCTTTGCAGCGATCTGACGTGCCCGGCGGTTCCTTGCCGGTGTTGCTGCTCCAGCGTTCTCCCCGGGGTGGTCACTGGATTGTTGGGATCTCAGCCCTGATGTCGTCTGATCTTGGCAAGGAGAAGTGTCCCCCAGGCTTGGTCCCCTGAGGGTGGGCGAAGTGAAGCGAGCTGTGTTTGAGCGCACCCGGAGAACGAACAGAATCCACAGCAGGGGAATTTAAAAAAGAAAAGGAAAAAAAAAAAAAAGAGAAAATCAAAACCTGTTGCGTCATAAACTCAACAAACTTGATAGGGGAGCTGTGTGATAAAGCCTCCCCAGAGCCTGTTGCACCAGGTTTTACAGGAACCAGCCAGATCTGGGACAGGGAGAAAATGCACTTAACTAACCCACACCCAGGGACTTCCTGGCTCAAGGGCTGGAGCAGTAGCAGCAGAGGAGGAGGAGGAGGAGGATGATGAGGATGTTTCCTTTCAGACCATGTCTTTAAGTCCTCCTGTGTGCCCTCAGGGTTGGAGCTTGAGCTGGGAATAAGAGATGCAGCTCTGCTTGGCCTCTCTGGCCTGGCTGCCTAGGCACAGGTCCTTTCTCTGGTTTTCCGCCCGTTTTGTGTACGTAGGTGCACGTGGCACCTTCCTGGTGCTGGGAGGGAAACCCCTGGCAACTTCCAGGCGATGGCAGGAATGTTCTTGAGGGGTAATTACTGGTGGCTGCGATGCTTCTGGGAGGAAGGGAGGCTGCTGGTCCTGCTCCCCGAGCGCAGCTTCGCAGTCGCAGCCCCCTTACCCAGCAGCTTCTCCCTGGATGAAACGGAGGTGGGGGCAATGGGGAGATCCCCCATCCCTGCCGGACTGGGCTGTGGGGTTTACTGGGCTGGTCGGCACTGCAGGATGCAAATGCCTTTGCTGGGTGTCCGGGATGGGAGCTGATGCTGTGCTTGTACCCCTGCCCCCCCCAGTTGTGCTCATCGGGGACTCTGGGGTGGGGAAGAGCAACCTGCTCTCACGCTTTACCCGCAATGAGTTCAACCTGGAGAGCAAGAGCACCATCGGGGTGGAGTTTGCCACGAGGAGCATCCAGGTGGACAACAAGACCGTGAAGGCTCAGATCTGGGACACGGCCGGGCAGGAGCGGTACCGGGCCATCACCTCAGCGTGAGTTTCCTTATTCCCCACCCGTGTCCCTCGCCCGGAGCCCTGCCGTGACCCTGTCCCCGCTCTGTCCCCCAGGTACTACCGGGGGGCGGTGGGAGCTCTGCTCGTCTACGACATTGCCAAGTACCTGACGTACGAAAACGCCGAGCGCTGGCTCAAGGAGCTGCAGGACCACGCCGATGCCAACATCGTCATCATGCTGGTGGGCAACAAGAGCGACCTGCGGCACCTGCGGGCCGTGCCCACTGATGAAGCCAGGAGCTTTGCAGGTATCTCCCCCACCCTGCCCCGTCCTGTCCCCCTCCCGGGGCAGCTGCAGCTCACGGCACCCTCCTTGAGCTCGCCCTGTCCTTGCAGAGAAGAACGGGCTGTCCTTCCTTGAGACTTCTGCTCTGGACTCCACCAACGTGGAGACGGCTTTCCACAACATCCTCTCGGGTAAGGGGCAACCAGGAAAATTGGGGAGGGGACACGGGGATGGGTTCAGACATCGTGTCCCTGCTGGGGACTCTGGCTGTACCTTCTGGGGTGGGATCCTGCTCCCCTGGATGGGAAGATGTGGGCATTTGAGCTGTGTGTTTTGGGGAAGGGGCCAGTCCCCCGCTGAAATATATACTTAAAGTTGTTGTTGTTTTTTTTTTTTTTCCTTCTCTCTCTGCTGGCAGAGATCTACCGCATCGTGTCGCAGAGGCAGATCACGGGGCAGCCGGAGTCAGAGTTCGGCCCCAGCACGACCATCGAGCCCATCCGGGTGCTGCCCACGCAGCAGGAGGGCAGGCAGGCGCCCTGCTGCCAGAACATCTGAGCCCCCTGGGGTGCCCCCCACCCTGACCCCCCCACCCCCTGCCCCAACACCACCCCAGCACAGGGTGGCACCATGTTTCTCACCCTCTACTGCTGCCCGCTGCAGCCCCCCTGGAACAGGGTGGGCTGGTGGCTGCTTCTGCACGGCTGCTCCTGTGTGAACCATCACGCTGCCTGCGTGCCGCGCTCCCTGCGTTTGTGTAGGACCTAAACAAATATTGGGGGGTGGGTGTGGAGGAAAAAAAGCATCAGGGTCTCTCCCCTGTCTCCCCAGGGTTTGGGACATGCCATCCCCTTGTGTCCCTGCTTCCTCTAGCCCTGAAGGCAGAGTCGTGGGGTGACTCAGGGTGGCACTGAACAAGCCCAGACATTGTGACTCCCTTGTTTAGCACCGTTTCTGCAGCACCCTTGGGTGCAGCCCTTCAGGGCAGGGGTGGGGAAGGGGACGGGGGGTGCACCCTTCTCTTGCCTGGCGAAGCGAGCAGGAACGCAGCCGGTTGCACCCAGCCTTGCCCCGTCGGCACCAAGGGCTGGGTGTGCCTCGGGGTGCTGCTGGGGACACCCCGCTGTGGTGTGCGGGGGGGGGTGTGTGACTCCCTGCTCATGCCTGGAAGGACCCCGTTTTTCACGCCGTGAGCCCCTTGAGGCGTCCCCACGGCACAGACCCAGCAAAGGGAAAAGCTGCACCTCTCGCACTGGTGCCCCAGCTCAGGGGGACTGGGGGGGGGGACGACACACGTGTCCTTTGGGGGACCCCCGAGGAGGGGACAAAGGGGTCCTGGGGCTTTGGTGGGGTGAGTGTGAGGGCAGGGATGGGGTGCTGAGGGTGGGCACCCAGTCTCTGCGCCCACCTCCTTCTGTGGCGGCCGGTGCCAGCACGGGGGTCCCCTGGGCTCTGGGATGCGAGGAGCCACTCGTGTGTTTCGCCACCCGTGGCTGGTGACAGCGTGGCCGCGGCGTGGGGGCGCGGCTGCCACTAGATGGAGCGTCTGCTGCGCTTACAGGGTGACAGTGGCCCCGTTCCCCTGCCCTGGGGGACAGCGCCCAACCTGCTGGGACAGGCTGGGCTGAGCCCAGTGCCGCTGTCAGAGGGTGATTGACAGGTGTCAATCAAGAGGGGCGCAGGCACTGCGGTGGCCTTCCCGGGAGAGCCTGTCCCCATTAACCCCAGTGCTGGGAGCGTTTCCCCACACCACAGCATGGGTTTGGGTTTTGTTTTGTGTTTTTTTTTTTTTTTTTTTTTTTTTGTGGGGTGGGGTGGGGTGTTTCTGTCTCTCCGTGGTGCCCCCGGTCACCCCATCTCACTCGGCTGCGCTGGCAGGAGCTGTGCCAGCGTCTCGCCCTGGGAAGCGATTTACCAGATGAAACGGGAATTTGGGCAAAATCCCCAAATAAAGTTGCTGCTGGAGGCTCTTTCTCTCTCTGCCAGGGTCCTTCCTTGAGGCCGGGAGCTCTGCCAGCTCCGGCCCCACGCCTCTGCCCGCGTGGGCATGGCGCGGCCGGGCAGCATCCCCATGCGATGAAGGGGGTGAGGAGAGGCGAAGAGGAGGAAGGGCAGGGAGGAAGGTGGGACCCGGGCAAGGGGGTGTCTCGCTGGGAGGCTGGAGGGGAGAGCTTGAAATTCAGGCTCGGAGGGGCAGGTTGGATCCTGCAGCTGCAACACAGCGGGAGGGTGGGGGTGCGTGAACCGGGCACGGGGATGGCTGTGCCGTGGGGGTGCCAGCCCCAATTGGGTTGAGGTTGCCCCTTTTTGTTCCCCAACCGCCAGCGCAGCCGCTCCCGGCCCTGGCAGCAGCTCAGCCTTGGCTCCAGCCATCCCGGTGCAGCGTGTCCCCGCGTTCCGGCACCGCTCTTACCCAAAAGGCAACCTCACCCCTGAGCTGGCCAGACCCATCCCTGGGCCACCTCTTGTGCCTGACCATGGCCAGACGCTGTCCCCAGGTGAGTGACAGTCATTCCCACCCCCCCCACCCCACCCCGGCCGGACTCTGCCCCGTGCCCACACCGCCCGGGAGAGGCACGGCGTGATGCAAACCAGCCGGAGAGCTGCCAAGTGCCACCCCCCTCCCGCACCACCATCTGCCCGCACCGAAACGAGGTGCCAAGAGGTGATGTCAGCCCCGGCGCCGGGACTGTACGGGGAAGGGGGGGGGGGGGGAAGGCTGCTGCCCCCCCGGCTCCGCAAAGGGACAGGGCTTGAACCAAGCATCCCTCGGGGCTCGCCGCCGTCAGACCTGCCATCCAGCCGGGCCCTAGCACGGACACACGGAATGATGAGCTCATGGAGACACTGTCGGGCTCGGCAGCTCCGTTTTGCTCCAGGTTTTCCGGTTTTTGTATGATTTCTGCTGGGATGAAAGGAGCGGGGAGGGTGAAACAAGACAGGGGTTTGCACACAGAGCTCGTGGACGTGGGACCTCGCTGCCACCGGGACTGGGGACAGCAGCTGGTGCAGGGGAGCTGATGGTCTCGCAAATGAAACTCCTTTGCTCTAATTAACCCCGAGAAGCGTTGATAAAGGCGTGAGAGACCTGTGAGGGGTGTTCAAAGGAGGTTAAGGCCCCGCTGCCCCTGGAGCTCAGCCCAGCCAGGGGCCCCATTCCCAACAACTCCCAGACCCCTTCCTAAAGCGTGAACAGACAGAAACCAAGAGCAGACACCAGGTTTCTTAAGTAATAATACTTTAATAAAATTAAGTTCTTAATGTAATTTAGCACATTTAATACATTAACCCTTTCCCTTCTTTGTTTTCTACAAGTTGTGCAACATCATTATTTTAATTTTTTATTTTATTTTAATTTTTTTCCTTCTCCCCTTATACTATATGCCTCAAAACTCAGACAACGAGCCTAACTCTACTTCTATGTTCGTTTATATCTCTCTCTCAGGCCTTTATTTTTGCGTAATGCCAGAGAGATGAAAATACCTGGATGGAACATGTGATCGGTTTCCAATAGTAACAATCCCGACTACAGGTTTCCTATGACGTTAAAAGAAAAGAGAAAAAAAAAAAAAAAAAAATCAAACACAACATAATAGGGAATGGACTTTAAATGGAAGGGCCACACAGTCAGGACGGCCAGGCTAACACCGGGCAACTCTGTGGCTGGCTGGCTCAGCGCGAGGTTGGTAGTACCGTGGAGTAGGACTGTGTGATAGCACCCGGATCCGGGGGAAAGCGGATACACACAAACTTGTACAGCGTTTCTGAGCGAGGATGAGAGAAAGCTAACATGGTACTGGTCAAGCAAAAGCCATGAAGGGCTGGCGGAGGGCTGCGCTCCCCTGGAAGCCACGGCTGCTGCGTGGGTATCACCGAGATCGGCTGCTGATGGTCCCCAGAGGCTTGGGTTTTGTTTTAGCTCGTGTCTTACATGGGAAATCCCACCAGAGCTGCTTTGCTAGAGTCCCAACGGCAGCAACTCGGAGCCTGGATCTCTTTGATACCGGGGCAGAGCCAGAGAAAACACTCTGCAGCCCCAAAGGCTCCCGATGGTGCCCAGGGGCTGCTCTGGGCATCCCTGGGGATTTCCCTGGCTCGCCTGGGGCTGGGATCAGCCTGGGCTCCACGGCACGGCAGCGTGAGTGGGCTCCGCAGCGGCTGTGGCTCAAACAGACCTGCTAGTTTGGGCTTCATCAGCACTCACGCCCACCGCCTTTCGTGTTTGCTTAACACTGCGTTTAACCCGGGAGCAAATCCTCAATTGCAAAACAGGATCTGGTCCCTGATCTTTTTTTTTTTTTTTTTTTTTTTTTTTTATCCCCTTTTTCAAAGATTATCTTGAACAGAATCCATAAGGGGAAAAAAAAAAAAAAAGTGCTGATGGTTTGATGGTTTCACAGACAAGCAAAGCAGCCTGCGACCGTGTCTCCATCCCAGCTCCTGGGAGCTGAGAGAAGATCTCCGCGGCCACGAAGCGCTGCTCTGTCTTGCCGCTCTGTTTCTCTGCAAGTTGTTTCAAAAGCATCATCGCAAGACCAGAAAACACATTCTGCCATCAGCTGCCTGGTACACTGGTGCCACCGTTGGAGGGTGACTTCATTTTTTTTTTATTCCTGCACAAACACCAGTGGAACAACTCCAGATTTTACATTAGTGTCACTTTACTGGGGGTGACTTTCAATTTGCTCTGTTAGCAGCCCCGAAGCGACGCTGGAGTGGATCCAGCGGTAACACCACATCCTGCCAGGGCTGAAGCGACTTCAGATTCCAGTAGAGTAACCCCGTTGAAACGGGGGAGTTACACGGGAGTAAAAGCAGGAGCTGCCCAACCTGCACCACCTCCAGCCATCACGGCACAGGCAAAACTGAAGTCAGCCCAGCGCAGTTATGGCTGAATTTTCCACCGGGTCAACTGACAGCAGAACGTGACTTCGAATTTCTACAGTATGTGAGAACCCACAGTAAAATACAGAGATTGCTCCCTAACATCCTAGAAAGGTTTTCGGAAGAACCAGCCCATCCTGGCTCTGCTCCTGCCGGTGCTGACACCAAGGAAACCTCACTGCGGGCTCGGCAGAGGCAGGATGGGACCCCACTATCAGTATACAAGTTACTATAAAGTGCATCCACTCTCCAGTCCAGGGCATCACTGTACAACGTCAATCACTGACTCTTCTTCAAGTATCAAAACCAAAAAATGAGGTAAAACAAAAATGAAAGAGCAAACAGGCCGCCTTGCCGCCCCTGCAGAGAAGGACCAGGCGCTTGATTCCACCAAGCACGAACCCCTCCGAAAGCGCGGGAGCCGTCGTGCCCTGCTTTCCGAAACCACCCCCCCGGGGCGTGCCGGGGAGAGTCCCGTGGAGTGATCTCTGATTCACAGTGCTATACGCAGAAACCGAATGAGAACTGTCTTCGCTTCCTGTCCTAACCTATTGCATGGCTTTGCTGAATGAATGCTGGTAAGCGGCTGCCTCGTCCCACCCCAGAAGCAGGCGTGCCGTCCGCGGGCGAGGGAGCGACGAGGGGCAGCCGCTGCGTTTCTCGAAGGCTTTGGGATCCTTGTGGATGCTCCTGAACTGCAGGACCCCCCTGGGTTTGCGACGGCCGAGCCACGACACAGAGGATAGGAGCAAAAGCTAAACCCAGAGGTAACCACCTTTCAAGAGTGTTTTCTTTGCAACACTCTGCTTCTCTAATAATAACGGAGTTGACGCTAGGTCATTTGTTTTCGAGTTCTATCGCGTAAACGGTGATTTTGGTGCAGCGAAAAGCAGTCGCCGACGCTCTGGAGAAAAGCGCTGGCCTGGCTCTTGAAACGTTAAGGACCAGGGTTTAACCAGCTGGCCGGGTGCGTGGGGCGAATCCTGCCCCGAACCGTCCCAAGCGCATCTGCCGTCGGCAGAAAAGCTCCCCGCCGCGCGAACGGACCCGCCGTCCAGCCTTTCCACCCGCACGCCGGTCCGGGGAGCCGTTCGCTCCCGGCTCCGGGCGCGGCCAGGACTCGGGCGTCTTGTCACAGAGCCCGACGCAGAGCAACCTCCAGCCTCCTCCCTTCGCTTTCGGAGCCGAAAACCAGGCGGTCGCCAAGGCTGTCACCCTCCCGAGAGCAGGACGGCGCGGGGCCGGCTGTCGGGAAGCAAAGCGCTTTCTGCAAACGTTTCACCCGCAGCTCCAGCGCTCGAACCCGATGATTTGAGGCTGAGCAACAGCTCCCTTAAGGGAGCATCTGGCACAGGAAAAAAAAAAAAAACCAAAACACCCAACAAGCCAAATCTGGCATCCCGAAAGATGCCAGCTGCTGAACAAGCGAGCTCATCCCAAAGGCGCACATCGTCTCCCTGGTGCAATGCTTCCTCACTGGGTCGAGATATAACCAACAAAAGATAAAACAAAAAAAAAAAAAAAAAAGAGGAAAAAAAAGAAAAAAAAAAAAGGGGGGGAACAAACCAACCCTAATGTCTTGTGTCTACTGCCCGGCTCCGAGGGCAGAAAGCCTAATTCACGGCCCCGCAGCGGCCACGCCAGGAGAGCCCCGTGCCTTCGCACCAGCACCTCGCTGCCTTCGAGCTCTGTCCGTCACGTTACAGAGGGGAGTTCATCCAATTTTTCTTTCCTTCGCCTTCCCACCCAGGAACGGTCCCACCCGCCCACCACCGGGACCTTCCAACACCTTCGGTGCTTGGAGGAGTTCAAAAAGCAAGAACAGCACAAGAAAAGTAACTTTTAACGTTTCTTTTTCTGAAATTTCATGCGCCAAGCCCAAGGCTGGAGGTCAGAATAAGGCAAAAATAATGGCCTAAAACTTTCTTATTTTGTTCAGTGACTAGCCAAATCTTTTATAGTTTTATTAAAAAAGCAACATAAAAACCCAAACGCATCTTTTTAAAAAAATACATATTATTAGATCCCATTTTTTTTTTTTTTCCCCTCTATAAAAATAACTTCAGGACTTTGATTGACAGAAGGTACCAGTCGGTGGTCTGTTATTTTGTTAGGCTTTCGTTCGTTTATTTGTTTGCTTCAGAAAAATAGTACCAAAAAAAGATGGAATTTCTGGGGAAGTTAAAAATGATAGCTGATCTTGTTTACAAGTTTATTTTACATTCTGCTCTGTCTGGGATCACTTGGATCTACTATAGATTAAACAATATGGATAGCATCTACTATTTGAACTAGTTAATTTTATTTTAATCTTTACTCTAGGATTATATGAAATAAATTTGAATGTTTATTATTATTAACTTTTTCTTAATACCCATCAACTCAAACTTTTCTTTTTTTTTTTTTTTTTTTTTTTTTTCTTCTCCTTTTTGGTTAAAAACAAACAAACAAACAACAACAACAACAAAAAAAAATCTTATTTTAAAATGCTTCTTTGAAAGGCAACAGAGCAGAAGCATCCCCCACCTTCCCGCTGCTTTGGGAAGGGGAGCGGGACAAGGGTTGGCTTCGCGGTGGGGGTACGGGGACCCCCCATCCCCCCCGTGCTCCCCAGCCCACGGGGAGGTTGAGGCTGCTCAGCCCATCTGCAAAGCAGCTCCTTGGGCTGAGATCCAGCAAAACACTCAGGGATGTGGCTGAAGCTAAGCGCATGCTTAAGTGCTTTCCTGGATTAAAGCACGTGCTTTGCAAGCTCAGTGCCTCCCTGGCTAAAAAGGGGGCACGCCACTCGCTCCAGGCTGTCCTCGCGGGGTGCACGAGACATGCCCACGCTGGCTCGGGGGGAAAGGGGGGGTGTGGGGTGTGGGGGGAGCAGAAAGGGTACCATTGCCCGATGTTGGATGGGTCGAAGCTGGCCGGGGGCTCTGCACGAGCTGGCGCATCCCCCCGGCTGCTCGGAGCACCGGGTACGAGCCCAAAGCCGCTGTCGGAGGGGGCACCGCTCCTGCACCAGCCCTTGGGTCCAAAAAGGACGACGTGGAGGGTGTGGGGGGGTGTGGGGGGGTGTGGGGGGGGATGTTGGCGAGGTCAGGCCTGGCCTGAACGCTGGGACAAAACACTCGTGGCCTTGCAGCCCGCTCGGGAATGAAAGGGAGCCAAAGCCTTGAGAGAGGCAACGGACGGCAAGAACCCCCCCTACCCTGCTCGCAGAGCAGCCCCGGGGAGGTCCGGGCTGGAACTGGCTGTCTGTCCTTCCCGTCAGGGCCGCGGGAAGGACCGTAAACCCTCTCGCCTGGGACAAGGAGCAGCGGTACACAGGGCTCTGGGACACCCCACCGCCCGCCGACTCGACGACGGCAAAACTCTGCGCCCGTTCCCCCCGGGGCCAGGCCGGGGGGCTCGCTGTAGGGCTGCAGAGCAGGAGGAGGGCGACGGGGTGAAGGAACGCCGGGTTTGCTTCCCAAAGCTGCCCTTCCCGCAAGAAACCAGGGCGGGAGCAAACCCGCATCGCCCAGCGCCTGCCCTGGGCCCCCCCCCCCCCGCCGCCAGCCCGGGGTGGGGGGTTGCGCAGCCAGGGCCTGATCCTGCACAGATGCTTCAGCCCGCTCAGACCTCGACCCCTTGCAGAGGGATTTGCTAAACAGAGCAACCACAGGACGGGGGCTTCGACACGACCGCACGGGCTTTGATTCATAGTGGTTTTTCTCTTCTATGTCTCTGGTTTTTAATTACCTTTTTTCTTCTTCTTTTTTTTTTTTTTTTTTTTTTTTTTTTTTTTTTTTTAAATACATCCAACTGTGTTAATTTCTTATTTCTGGAAAGGGCTATCTGCACCATAACTATCACCTTTTACATACACACACGCACACACAAAAAAGGAAACATATATTAAAAACACTTTTTAAGCAATACTCTGGATACAAATGTATTTTTTAACCTACATATATTCTAAACCTTCTAAACTTTTAAGGATCACTTTATCATAAAATAAAATATCCTTTTTTCTTATAATAAATTACCTAATAAAAAGTATTTTTATTAGCCCAGTTCCTTGCTACATTTACATGTAATAAATGCATTTATTAAAATAGAATATTAAATTATAAAGAAATGTTCTAATTTTAAAATCTTAGTCTTTTTTTCCCTCCTCTCTCTCTCTTTAAAAAACACCAGTAAATGCATCAAAATAAACCCTTCAAATACCAAATAAACAGGTTGGATCATTTTGATTTAAGAGGTTCACAATATTAACAGTCTGAGCCTTTGTATGTATGGAGATTATTTTTTTTTTAAGAAAGAAAGAAAAGAGAAAAAAATAATAGATATCCCTCCAGCTGAAAAATACTTTTGCAAATGGGAGCTAGGACAAGATATTTTTATAGTATCTCCTCATTAAATATAAATCCAATTTTGGTTCTTTTTTTTTCTTTTGTTATGTATTATAATACATACTATTCTCTATATAATTTATGTCGATGAGGATGACATCACAGCATGACATTACTTTATCCCGCCGTTTCCCTTTGTTACGTTTTGTCACCCTCTCCCCCACACAATCCCTTCTCCAGGAGCCCCTGTCCCCGCCGCGGCAGCTTTGCAAACACCACCCAAAGACGCAGCAGGTTTCGGGGGACACAGTGCAGGCACCACCCCGAAACTCCCCCCGCCGAGCACCCCGCTGCCACTCGTCCTCTCCCTGGTCACATCTCCCCGCTGTGCCAGGACCGGGGAGCCCCCCGCTCCCACAGCCCTCGCACCCCCTCGGCTCTGCCCGGGAGGTCACGTCCACCAGGCAAGGTTGCAGGATGAGTCCCAAACTGAGCAAAGAAGCACCGGAGCCCCCGCTCTCCTCGGATCCAGCAAGCGCCCGAGTCGTCTGCGGTTTGGCGAAGCACGTGCGTAAATCCCAGCGGCGCGCTCAACCGCCGCGTCTGCCAACCAAGTCAGTCCCATTCGCCAGGTCCGCTCTGTGTGTGTGTGTGTGTCCCCCCCAACGCCACGGGTCTGATCCTGCCTGGGCCTGGAAGCCTCCTGCTAACGGCTCAGCACCTTCCAACACAGCTACACTCCGAGCCCCGCCTGGGTTTTTTGGGGACCTGCCCTCCGTCCCACCGCTCGCGCCCTCGGAGGCTGCGCCGCCGGCCTCGCAAAAGCACCCCGACGCAGCTCAGCCCCCCGCAGCAGGAGGGAACCCCACCGCCGGCACCCCTCCCCGGGCATGGCAAGTCACAGCTGGGTCCCCACCCCGGCTCCACCAGACCGAAACACTCGGGGACAACCCGCTCCCCTGCCCGGCCCGGCGGGGAAACCAGCAGCGCCCGTTCGCAGCGGTCCCATCCTGCCAGCACGGATGCACGTGCCGTGCTCAGCGCTGCCGGGAGCCCACCCGATTTTGTTGGGCTGCTCCCCAGCTGCAAAATTAAGGCCCCCCACCGCCCCCCATCCCCTGCTTCGGTGTGATTTGAAGGATGGGGCTGGGCGGAGGGGAGGTCTTGAAGACCAGGCTCCCTGCAAAGGTTTTGCTGCTCCTAAACCAGAGGGAGGGAGAGCGGCGCAGCTCGGCGAGACCCGGCTTCATGTGCCGGGTCCCATCACCACGTGCCTCCCTCCTCCCCCGGGTGCAAGTAGGGTGCCCCACATCCATTTAGCACCCCGAAACGGGTTATCTCACACAGCCCTTGGGGGGGGGGATGTTTGGGGTGGCTGAACTAGCAAGGAGGTTTAGCTTAGCTGGTTTCCACTGCTGCTGCTCCTATCGCAAGGTGGGTCACCAAAAGGCGTCCCCGCGGGGCGGGAGGGACGGGGGAAAGCCCACCCGTGCGCAGGGAACCCCGCTCGGACCTTGCTGCAGAGAGGGGCAGGGTGCAGGGAGGAGGGGTCTGTCTTTAGTTAACGTTATTGCTGGTGAATTAGACCAACAAGCCATTTTTAGTCACCTATCAAGGAAGATACAAGTCAGAGCAAATAGTTAAGGTCATGGGCATTTTTCTTGTTTTTTGTTTTTATTTTATTTTTTTTTTTTTTTAAGATTTTTATATATATACATATATTTAAAAAGAGAGAAAAAAAAAAAAAAGTTATGCAAATTTGTTGTTTAAGCCCCGCAACCGGGCTCCCCTAGGATGCTAACAGGCAGGGCCCGGGACTGCCCCTCTCCGGGTGCCCCCCAGGGCTGGGGAGCAGCGGGGGCCGCAGCTCTCCTGCACTGCCCGAGCCCCCCATGCAGCCCCCCCCTCGGGCCAGAGGTAGCTCTCGGTGCGTTTACAGCGCCTGTTTTTCTTTCTTCCAAAGTTGCTACATCAAAATATGGAGTTGATGGGGGTATGGGGGAAAGCAGGGGAAAAGGAGAAATCAAAATAAAACAGGGGCCGAAATACTTCTATTCATTTTAAACTAGAACTGCTACATCAAGCTTTCTTTTAATATATATGTATATGTATATATATATGTATATATATATATATATAAAGGTTATTGGAACTGAAGATTTTATTAAAGGCCAACTTGGAGACTTGAGTAGGAACCTCGTCTGCAGAGAGGGGCAGACGCGCTGCTGCCTGGACAGACGGACAGCCCCTCTCCGGTTCCGATCAGCAAGCATGGACGTTTGTTTGGGTCATTATTCCTTTTTTTTTTTTTTTTTTTTCCTTTTTTTTTTTTTTTTAAAAAGAAAGGTTTTTTTTTTTTCTCTAACATTTTTCAGCATGCAGGAGGCTTTTACATCGTTTTCGCTTGTTAAGGTAAGGGAGGAGATAAAAGGAGCAGACAAGAGCCCCCCTTACCTTCCCCCCTCCCCACTCCCTAGGGTCAGTGCTAGAATAGGTCCCCCCCACCCCAGGTCCCCGACACGGGTGTCTCCTTCCCCCCTCCCCGCTCCCACCCACCTCTTCACAACCTGGCATCAAATAAAGACATTGATCAAAAACTTGCTCACATTACCACGAACAGACTTCACTCAGCCAAGAACGACTAGTCACTCAACTAACATATCGGCCCCGGGGGACTCGGCCAGGGAAGCATTTGCCGTTGCAGTTTCCAGCTAAATCCCCTCCGTTACCAACACGAACATTTCCGAACGCCCCTTTGAAGGGTGGTTGGATGCCCCCCCCCCTCCCCCCGCCCACCCGCCCCCACCCCCCCAGCTCTTGCCCCAGCCACTCTCTCGACATCAGCGGGAGAATTTTGCACAAAGAACGGTTAAAATACAACCCTGGGGTGGGGGGGACGGGACATGACGAGGTGGTGCGCGTGGGGAGGCGAGAGCTTACTGCCCGGAGAACAGAGATGTTCCCCCTCTCCCTCCCCTTCTTTTTACTGGGACCAAACCGAAGCCAGATTTTGAACGAGAACTGGGCCAGTTTTAAAAAGGACGTGGCCAGAGCTGGCCGGGGCTCTGAAGCCTTTGCTGAGGCCACGCTTCCACGGCGCGGGGTGGGGGATGGCTTTTATATCTGTGCCCTGGGACAGCACCGGGCCGTGGAGGCTCTGGGAGTCTGGCCGGAGCAGGGCTGGCCAGCACCCCCGGCCCCCCATCGCCCCCCGGCTCCCACACCGGCGGGTCCAAAACGCGGCACCGTCCCCCGGGGAAGCGCTCGCATCCCGACCCGCGCCCGGTGCAAACGGCCGTGCACACCACAGGGCCGGGAGAACCAAACGGCCGGAGATTTCTTAAAGCTTTGGGGAGGAGGTGAGTACAAATTCAACCTGACAGTGTCCCTTTAGCACAGCAATTTTTCTTTTTTTTTTTTTTTTTTTTTTTTTTTCTTTTTCTTTTTTTTTTCCTTCTTCCAAAACATCAGCAGAGCCTAGGAACGTCGTCCACCCCTCCATCTACCTCTTGCCCCTACGTAATATTTTACCGTTGATGCAAAATGGTGGAGGCACATCATTTCACGCCCCTCCACCCGATATCTGAAGATCGAAAGTGGATCTTTATCGACGCAGAGCACCAGAGCAGCCTGCCCCGAGAGTGGCAAGCTCAGCCTCTCCTCCGGTGACCAAGGATGGCTCGAGCAGACCATACCGGGGTGGAGGCAGCAACCGGGAGCAAGCGGCAGCAAACTGAGCAGAAGAGGGGATGTTCCCAGGAACATTATTACGATGAAAATAAAGTCTCCTGTAACTGAAGGGAAAAAAAAATCTCAGGCGATTTTTATTTTTTTTGTGTTTTTGTTTTTTGTTTTTTTTTTTTTTGTGTTTTTTTTTTTTTGTTTTTTTTCTGCTGTAGAACTGTCTCTGCCAAGTTGTGAAACTTGTTGGTTCAGTTCTAAATCAGGGTCCAGGATCTGTGAGCAGAAGTTGAGGGGTAAGGAAACGGGGAAGCGGTGGTGGTGGGAGAAAAATTATATATATATATCATTTTATATACACATATATATATATATAGGTGCTTGATGAGTTAAGTGCCTATATATATATATACATATATATTTATAGATAGGTATACTGGTACTTGATAGGTTAATCCAACACACATCTTTACCATCACAGCATTTTGGCATCCAGAGACTGGTTGAACAAACCTGATGATGTTAAGATGCTGGCTTGCATCTTGTGTGCATTGGCACAGAAGCCAGATTCGAAGCCCATCCTCTCCCACTTCCCAATGGTTTAAAAAGTATCTGATTTAACAAAACCAGGAGTCTTGAAATGATTAAAGGATGTTCAACAAGGCAATTTTTTTTTGTTTTGTTC